CAACTCCATTGTTAATTTACTAGACAATTTGCAAGTGAAGCAGAGGATAAAGCCTGTAGAGTAGCTATTAGCAGCTGAGCAGGGTAATTGCAATATGCAATAATCCCATTAATTCCACTGAGTCCTTGTCCTTTAGTACCCAGTTAAGTTTTGGTGCCTAAAATTTCTTAGACAGACTGGTCTGGAAAGCAGAATTCCTAATGCTGCTGAACAGTAAAAATTGATTCAGTAGACAAGTTGGGTTTACTGTATAAACAATTTTCCCCACCTAATGTCCTCAGATGGCTCCTCAGTAAGTATCTGTAGAAAATTATCTCCTTGTTTGTTATGGGAAGTTATGGCTGGACAGGAATTTTCACTTGAGATGACTAATTTGGTGGCTGAGGGGAGAGCAGTAGGTGGTGTTTATTTTGGCTTTACTATGGCTTTCAACACTGTCTCCCAAAGCATCCCCATAGACAAACTGATGAAGTACAACCTAAATAAATGGGCAGTGAAATGGATGGAAAATTGGCAGAACAGCTGGCCTGAAGGGGGCTCATCATTAGTGGAGTACCAACCCTCTGCTGGTACTTTTTAACACCTAGCTCTGAGCAAACTGGCAGACGATATAAAGCTGGGGAGAGGGGCTGATATCCAGGTGTTTGTGCTGCCACTGAGGACCTCAAGAGGCTGCAGAAATGGGCAGAGAGGGTGGTCAGGAGGTTCAAGAAAGGGAACAAGTCTGGAAATCTGTTTTGCTGCACAGGAGAATATGGGAATCCAGGTGGAGAACAAGCTGATCATGGGCCAGCAATGCACTCATGGGACAAAGGAGCCCACAGCATGCTGGGCTGCATTAGAAAAAGTGTCCCCAGCAAGTCAAGAGGGGTGATTTTACTCCACTCTACTCTTCTGTTCCAGTAAATAAACACATTGCCTTCAACAGTGGGGGTAGTATAAGAATGGCTGAATTACAATTGTATGGAAAAACAAATGATGTATTTTAATTATAAAAAAGGAGAAACCTTCAGCTGTGACAGTCAACATTAATAATCACTGCAACACAAACAAAAACATATCCCCCCATGCTTAAGAACGTAAACCACAAAACACCCTCTGCATGCTTATGTTTAAAAAGGTTTATTTTTTTCACCCTGGTACAAAAATACAGTACAATGTGATGGCAAGGCATTCGCCAAAAACATTCAAAGAATAAAAGGGGAAACCCCGTAAAGCTTCAACATAACCCACCCTCACTTTGATGGAACAATCAAAAGGTGAGTGCGTCAGGAAAAAGTTAAATTTCTGCCCAAAGGCAAATAAAGATGAATCACACAGTTTTACACAAAAATACATTTGCAGAGCTGATAATTCACATGCTATCTGGACATTCATGAAATGTATTCTACTTGTAGTGGCAGAATTCACGGTTTTGGATATCTAGAAAACAACTGGCCCAGGAACATGCCCCAGTGATGGGAATGCCCAGTAAAAACTATGGGATCACATAATACCAGTGAGAAAAGAGAGATTCAACCCTGATTAGTGTCAAAATGATGGCTACTTCTAGTTTTTCCCATCACACTGTCCTCAAATAGTGTGTTTCCTACACACCTCCCTTTTAACACCAAATATTAGTGGTTGCTCAAACACACACAGAGATGTGTTTGCACATTACCCAGTTGCTAAGAACCACCACAGTTCAAACTGCCAGGCAGAGAAAACACTGTAACTGTTGTGTGTGTGTGTGTGTGTGAACTCCAAACAGGGTTTTTAACCTAACATTGCTGACAGGGATTATGTCCCTTCAGTGCATCTACATTCTTGGTCTGTTTCATCATTTCCTCTCAGTTTTGAAGTGATGGAAAGGTATCTTTCAGTGTATTCATTATAGTTCATCTCCCAGGTGCTTTTGTTTGAAAGCATCACCTGTCAGCTTCTCCTGGGCCTCCTTCATCCCTTGGACAACTGAAAGATTACACACAGAGATACCAACCATTAATCTCAGGGTGAAAACATCAAGGAGAACAGGTAATGAAAGTGATTTAAAACAACACAGCTACAGAATGTAGATCTACAGATTAATCTGTAAGGAAAAAAAACAGTCCTGCATCCTTATCCCAACTATGTGTGGCTGGATCATGCAAATTCCATTATTTCCCATGCCAGAACTGGAGATAAAATTAGGTCCTAAAGACTTTTAGTAGGTATTAAGGTGGATCATTCTGAATATGGTTACTGAGGCACCAGAGAATCACACACATTGTATTTAACCACTCCCAGTTACACTTTAAAGTAATATAATTTCTCTCCACTGCCAAAGCTTCATCTCACTAAAAATGCACTTCAAACAACTCAGCACATACCTTGATCAGCATTGGTATAGAAATATTTGTAGCTGGGGTTTCCTCTCTCATTTATGATTTCTGGATGGACTTTTCCACTGGGGTCTGTGAAATAAGAAATCCAACAGGAAATTTAGATGGAAACAGTACGAACCCAGTGCTGTGAATGGACACAAAAGCTGTGGATGCCTTACCCATGAAAAGGATTCTGGGAATATAACCTCCATCAGGACTAAAGGCTTCATCCTTTGGCTCTTCATCATCCTTCCACAGCAAGGCAGGAGAGAGGAAAGATATTAGCAAGACTTCTAACAAAACATGGTGCCTTTTACAGAAACAATTTACTGCCTTCAGATTCCTTCTACCCTGAGCAATTTACATCTCGAAGAGATGCTAAGTAACTGCAGTATCCTCCACTCTCCAAGGGAAGAAAGTTATTTTTACCTACATGAGTATAATTTGTGAAAACAATTTTTTTTTTCTGGTTTGTCAATTTGCATTACGCACCCCACTCTGGTACAGGAATATTTTATATGTACTGAGAGAATGAACATCAATTCCTTTCTTGTGGAAACTGAATCACACAAGGTACAAACTGTCAAAGAGACAATGGCAGAGAGCCAGGTTTATAAACACAACTAAAATAACCAGACTGAAAAAAAGTCTTTTTAGAACAATGAGCTCTATCAATCAATCCTGAATGCCTATTTTGGAGTGCAGGATTTAGGATGTACACAAAACAGGACACAACCAGTTGAGTCAGATTCCAAATGCTTCCTTACTGGGCAAACCATGGATAGAGATCAGAAGGCAACCTACCTCAAGGTTGACCATAACAAAATTATGGGCAAGTTCAGAGATTTCCTTGGATTCAGCAAACTTTGGCTTCAAAGCTAAAGAAAAAAATAAAAATAAGAGGTATGTAAAAGCAGTGGAAAATACTTCAGATTTTCAGGTCAATATCAAAATCTCCACTTCATCCCTCCCTCTGGAGAGATGGCACTTTTCAATAAGCAGTGAGTAAATGGAATATATGTATCCAACCCTTCCAGCCAGGCTCAGAACAGGAGGTAACTGAAGCAATTCTTGCCTGGCAGCCATGGGCTGAAGCCTGAACAACAAACATAGGTGGTTATTTTGATCCAGTGCAACAGAAACAGAAATCCTGCTGTAAACCACCACTCACACTCAACTACCTCGTCCTCTAAGGCTTAGCCATACACCCAGCTTGTTTGTTTGCTATGACACTGCCATACTATGCCACTCTCAATGAAATACAAATACCATTAGTTACATTTTGGATGCAAAATTCACATTTCTCATGGCTACATGATGTCTGTACAAAGGTTCATTAGAAATTTCAGCAACTTCTAGTATTCAATGCACTTACCTTTGCAAGCTCCACACCAGGACTTGTGGATGATAACCATAAGAGGCAAACCACTAACAAAAAGAAGAGAAAAAATTGTCAAAGAAATTCTATTACATGTACAGTTTAACAGCCAAGGCTTCCTCAAAGGCTAAATGTAATGGGAAATAAGTCAGATGTAAAGAGATTATGGGGTGTTTTAAGATTGTCTTGCAAAAAGTTTTCCCAATCTTAAAACATGTGATAAAATAATTTATTATAGCTTCCAGCCAATAACTGCTTGTGTAGAGGAGGAGACTTTCTAGTTTAGATTTCTCAGATACACAACTGGTCATGCTTTTTGTTCCTGCATTACTGGAAATGGTTAATGACAGCAGCTGCTTGAGAGATCTCAGGATGGATTTTCGTGGCTGCTTAAGGCAATCCAGTGGATGACAATCTCTCCTCCCCATTACAGCCCACGTCTCAGTCACCTCCTGTGACTAAGGCCCTCCACTGAGCAGCCAGCAAACCCAATAACCCAGCAAACCCTTTGGCTGCCTGCATGGCTTCCTACACATTTGTATGCTGAAATAACACATCCATTGTGATGGATATGTCCAGTACCAGGGATAAGAAGGAAAGGGGGTCTGTGAGGAACTGCAGCCTAAATAAAGTACAATGCAAAAGGACTGAAGTTATTTTTGCTTTCACACTTTCCAAATAATTAATTTTACCTTTACTAGCTACACTACCCAGAGACTGTTTCCATACAATAATGATATGGTTTCCAGAACAGTAAGAACAGCCTAAAATTAGGTGAAGGAGAGGAAGGAATCTGGAGAGAAATCCTATATGGATACTTCTTTCAGGATATGCCAAGCAAAGCAAACTGTAAGCTTTCTCTGACTGTAAACTCTGCACCATATTAGGGGATAAAGTCAAATTTTCATACACATGAATTATTAACACCTTTGCACACAACAACATTAATTACTAGCAGAACTGATGTATGAGTTTTTCTTCAGGTGTAAATAGACATGAAAGGAAATCTCTACTTAACAGTGTTCAGTAATAAACTTTAGAACAAGGAAAAGGTGGAAATGAAGTCATTAACATTTAGAATTGTTCAAACACAAATTTGCCATCTATAATTAACTGATATGTCATCAACTTTACATCTGCTTGCAGTAAGGAGCAAGAATACACATTTCCCTAGTAAAGCTGCCACAGTGCCCTCTCCCTGACTTCTTTTCATTGTTTCTACAGAGAATTCAAAATTATTTTGCTTATTTCTTGAGGAGAGGCTGATTTAAGACTGGATTTCAGATTGTTCTCATCAACAAGGATCACTGATTCATGTTGAAAGAGTTCAGTGGTCTGCTAGTACTGCCACACTCTTTTTAAAGAGAAATTTTAAAAGCAGATTTTAAATGAAAGTGCTCACTTCCTAGAAATACCAACTCTTAGTCAGTGAGAACTCACAGAGGTTTGAGATAATTGATGTGATTTCTCAGCTTTGTTCTCTTTACTTTAACTGGTAAAATAAACTCATGTATATGAAAAACATTTTTGTAGTAATTTCTAAGTTCTGCAGTGCATAAAGCCCCTTAGCACCTGGTGTGCCAGACAGACACTATAACTGAAGTAACCCTTCCTGCCCCACTTCACCATTTTGTCCCAGTGAGCACTACACATAAAATTAAAACGAAAAGCACCATTTATTAGAATGAAGAATGAAGCATCCACCAGAAAGTAAGAAGTTTTATATAAGCTGTACCCAAAATTATTGGAAACTTAGCTACCCATCACAGCCAGTACAGACGTATAAGTTTCACACAGAACAGAAATAAATACATTTATTTCTGTCATTTTAGCTCATTTTTCCTATGACAGCACTCATTCTTAAGCAATTTGTGTTTTTAAGGGTGTAAAATTATGGTTTTAAGGGTGTATAATGACCTTGAAGAAAAAAGACATGGACAAGTTTTTTCGGTAAAATAGTCGTGCAGGTAAATTAAGACTTTACTCCATTTAAGGCACACATTTTATTATTAGACCTGAAACAGAGAAGTTTGAGTCTGTTAAGCTAGCACCCTTTTGCAGTGCAGAGTGGAAAATCTCTCTTGGGTCAGTCAGATTTTTTTGAAACAGTCACATCCTAAAAATACAGCCTGATCCAGTTCTGGACCTGAAGTCTCTTCTGCAGTTTGACATTATCTGGTGGCAGCTCTGGAAAAACAATCTTCTTATTCCAGGCACACACATGCCAACGTGGAGGGAAAAGTCTTCCCTAGAGCCATCACCTTTTGCACTTTCACTATTTGATTGCTGGGGTTTGCATCTCCACGGGAGACTTCACTTGCTTGGGGATACACCAGCAGCTCTCCTTTTTGCAAGATGCCAGCGGGGAGAAGGCAGGGGTGAGGAACTGCTTCCCTGGAGATCCCCCCAGCAATGCAGCTGGCTCGGCTGCTGCAGGGACACGGTGCCCACCCTCTCAGAGCTGCTGCTGCTGCCCAGCGATCCGATCCCCGACAGGTGGGACCCAGGCTATGAGGGCTCTGTGCCTCAAGGCCTGACCACCGCCACTGCTGGGTGGCACAGGTGACACTTCACTGGATGCTGCGGCTCAGGTATTGCAGGAACATGCTGGCCAGCTGCGGCAGGTTTTCATCGCTGGGCTGCATCTTGGTGTAGCTGATGAACTGCCTCCGCAGCCGGCTCAGCTCGGCCACACTCACGGGCCGGCTCAGCACCAGCCCCTCGGCCACGCCGGGGACGCGGATGGTCTCCCCGGGCTGCGCCCCGCTCCTCTGCGCGGCCAGCACGGCGGCCAGCACGTCCTGGGTGACGCGGTCCAGCTGGTGCAGGAAGCCGCAGGACTGCAGCGGCTGCGTGCGGGTGGCGCGGTGCGGCGGCGGCGGGGCGCTCTCGAACAGCGCGGCGCGGATGGCGCCCAGCGGCAGCGGCTCCTCCCCGCGCACCGTGAACAGCGGCCGGTCCCAGCGGCAGCTCGGGTCGGGCTCCTCGAAGGGCGGCTCGTCGGGGCCGCCCGCGCCGCCGGCGCAGTGCAGGAGGCAGCGCGCCGTGCCCGCCTGCCGCGCCGCGCAGTACAGCTCGTAGCGGATGCTCCGCAGCTCGTTGCCCGCGTCCACGATCACCACGTCCCGCCGGCTCAGCCGCCGCTCCACCTCGGCCCGCAGCGCCGCCCGGCCGCCCTCCGCCTCGGCCACGACGTGCGCCGCCCGCTCCGGGCCGCCCAGCGCCTCCCGCAGCTCGGCCGCCCGTCGGCTCTTACCGCTGCCGGGCCGCCCGCACAGCACCACCAGCGGCATCGCCCCGCCGGCGACACCCGACCCGGACGTGGAGCGGCTGCTTCCGCCGGGCACACACACACCCCCACAGCTCGCCCGGGCCGGGCCGGGCCCCGCGCAGCCCCGGGCGCTCCTCCTCCCCGCGGGCGCAGAGAAGCGGCGCGCCCCGGCTCCGGCACCGCGACACCGCCCTGCGAGGCGTCCCGCTTAAAAACGCCATCGCAGCGGCTGTTGGGACGAAGGGACCGCGCCCTCGCCCTCAGGGAACTTAAAACCGAGAAGTCCCCAGCAGCCCATGACATTGTGCAGTTCACAGAATTGAAATCGAAGGACTTCCTAGACCATTGGCTCTGGTGCACCTCTCTTGATGCATCCCAGATAATTTGGTGTAATTTTTCATCTCCTGATTTATGGTCAGACTTAGTAAAAAAAAAAAAAAAAAAAAAAAAGTACTTTTTAGGTTTATATTTTTTTTTCTACTAGTAGTTTCTCCCAGCCCTTCACTTCAGTAACACTCAAATGCTGCCTCGCTCAAATCAGCAAGCAGATCTGTGCATCAGCAGTGAAAGGAGTGTGGTTCACACCCATCCCATCCCTTGCTGCAGGGTCTTTTTGGGCAGGAACACTAATCCTGCCTAAACTTGAGAGCTCAGATCTTGCCATCCTTCCCACCCTCTTCTGTCTCACTTTAAAGCTTCCTCTGCTGCTGCTACAATTATAACAGTAAAAACTGAAATAATTACTTCCCCCCCCCCCCAAAAAAAAATGCAAAAGTATCAAGTTATAAAAACTTGTAAGACTTCTGAAGTGTACCATCTGGGTTAATTCAGTGTCTGCACTGGAGTGTAGAACTTGCCAGATGGATCAGTTTGAGAGCAGAGCTAAATTAAACAGCAAACCTGGAAGGCATGAGTAATTTCTGCTCATGTCAGCATTGTCAGATCTAAGTTATAAAGTTAAAATGCAAATAGAATTTATAAGCATGCCATTCTCCTTCTTGGATTTTAACAAGAAGCAGAAGAAACTCTGAGGAAAAAAAAAAAAAGTCAAGATGTCATTTTTCACAGAGACATTGTTCTTTTTAGAATTTAAGCTTAGCCAAACCAGGTTCTGTCAGTTCACTACAGTTTGAAACTTCCAGATTTTTGCTGCAGATGGAAACAAAATACCTCATGCTGAGGCCTTATCTATACAGGCACAAGGAATTTCAGGGAAGCTCTTAGCACGTCTGAGTTTAAGGGCATTGAGCACCACTTGCATTTGTGTATTTGAGAACCATATCTTTCTTTACTGTGATAAATAATTATTTTCTTGTTTCAAGGACATGCTAGGGCTTCAATCATTTAATTAGACTGCAGTGATTAAACCTAGGTGGTGCCTTAGCAAAGTTAACAAAGTTCTGTATTTTCTCTCCAATAACCTGTAGGGATCTGAAGTCTCCTAAACCACCCTCATATTTGTTAATAGAGACTCTTTTCTGTGGTTAAAGTTAGGGCTGAAATAGAACCATTGTGAATGCTTCTGAAGACACATTTCTGTATTTAAAACTAATGAACATACCTGGCTGCTGCCTCTTTCTTCCCATCTTCCAGTGTTCTCCAATGAATATGATCTCCAAAACCTGTCAGAGAGAAGGATTTATAAATGCTGCATAATTTAACATGTCAGCTAACAGAGGAAAACAGCCCAACCCTCGAGAGTATTTTCAACTCATTTTATATTCTTTTTTAAAAGACAACTATAGCTCCACTTCTGGAAAGACTTCTGGAAATACTTACAGCCCACCCACACAGTCGTATGAGGAATCCCATTGAAATTAATTAACAAAAACATACCATGCTCATGAATGCTTCTATATATGTATGTAAATGACACTAAAATCCCCCAAACAGATATTAAAATTGAAGTGCCTTCTGATTATTCTCCGTTCTTTTTCAGCCTGTGAACATTTATTATCTGATGAATGACAAATTAAACATGTCAGCATTTGGCTTCCTAAATCCCACTGAAGGTGAACTAAACTGAAACTTAAAAATTTCAAGGCCAACATATGATCATTAATTGCTCTAAAGCTATTATGCTAAGTATTCCTGCTGATGATAATATCATGGAAGAGCAAGAAAGAACACCATTATACAGATTTCTGAGTGTTACAGTGACTGAACGAAGCAGGAAATATTTTATCTGGCATGCAGATAACAAGTCTTGTTATGCCAATTGATTTAAGAGTGAGTCAGTGTATGTTTAACAGCTGCAAAGCAGTGACTGCCAGGGTTGGGTTTTTTTAGTAGCCAGCACAGCACATGGACAAAAGCCACCTGGAGAGCTTAGATGAAGGAGATCCAGGAGCTGTACAAAGAGGAACTCTCTTGGAACACCTCCTCAGAGGTCTTGGTTCCAGTAATTCATAATTACTGTGCTGGATGGCCAAACATGAGTGTTCGTTTACCCCTTTCCATCCCTAAGGGTTTGGAATAGTCAGGAACCCACTGTGCCCAAGGTGCTGAGGAGAGCAGATTTTGGGAGCTACACAGAGATCAGGAGCTACAGAGTGCCCAGTGCAGACACGGCAGAGTGGAGATTGCCTCCGGCAGCCAACCATGGAGAAAGCCTAAAACAAGGCAAGTCTTCAGGACACCTCCGTTCAGCACCCAGGAGGTGAGGACAGTGGCACAGTGTGTTCCTGATCTCTGCTGATATGAGCAGCTGTGACCCTAAGTGATGCAACACATCAAAGAGATGAGCTCACAGCAGCGTGGGGATCGTCCCTGTCCCCTCACACCCACACAGCAAGTGCTGCGGCAGCCCCCGACACAGGCCCAACATCCCAGAGCAAAACCCAGCTGGATTAGCACAAGTCATGTTTACCCAGAATATTGACACGTCAGCTATTTCAGTCAAAGGCCAAAATGTTAAAATAAAAAAAACCTTCAATTGTTCTAGCTGGGAAACACTTTTCAAAAGCTTTTCTATATTTAAAACAAGCCCCACTTTGTGGTGAGCTTCAGTGTGTTTTTAAAAGCATCGCCCAACACATTACAGAGTGTATCTTTTGAATGAAAGTCATCTGGGGAATTAAAGGGTGAATGGCTGGCTGGGATCCACACCACAGCTTTGCCTTCATTGATCAAATTGGTTACAACCAGCCTTGAGGAGGAGATTTACCTCTACGGCAAAGCCACCACCTGGGTGAAGCCCAGGCCCCGGGTGAACCGGGCTATTAGACACGGTAATTAGACAAGGAGCCTGGGCAAACCGGCAGCGAGGTGAGGAGCGGTCACGAAGGGCAAGGGAAGCCGAAGGCGGAGGGAAGGGCCATTCATCGCCTGCCAGGAGCCCGGCGGAGGCGGGCAGGCACGGGGGGCACCGCGGGGCTGCTCCCCCGGGGCTCCGCGGAGCCCTCAGAAAGGCTTCAGCCAGAACCCAGTCACAACGGGGAGACCCCGCAAATCCCCCCCGCACCTCCAGAGCCCGAGCTGCGCCCTCTGCCCCCCCCCCCGGCGGCCCCCGCGGGCTGAGGGGAGCGGACCTGCCCCGAGTGGGGACAGAAGTTGGGGAAAGCCCGAAGAAAGCGTTTGTCTGACCCTTTCCGAGCCCTCCCGCGGCGGAGGCGGCGCAGGCCGCCAGCACCAGGCACAGGCAGAGGACGGAGGCTGCCGCGGGCTGAGCCTTCATGGTGTCGGCGCGGTCAGCGGCACCCGGGTACGGCCCCGAACCTCCGGACACGACAGGACCCGCTTAGCTGGACTTTTTTTTTTTTTATTCCTCTTTTTTTTTTTTTTTTTTTTTTTTTTCCTCCCCCGTTTTTTAAAGCCCAGGAAGTGATGTGTAGCGGATGTGGGCGGTGCGCTGCCCTGACGGCTCGGCCCGGGGGTGCCGGGGCAGGCAGCCGGCGTGTACGGTGTGGGGGGCTCGGGATGAGCTCAGCTCCTTACAGGGAGCCGGGACCCCGGAGCCCTGGTTACTCCCCCTGGGCAAACCCCAGCGTTATCCCGATGGGAGCCGGCAGCGGTGGGAGGGGGGTGGTTCCAGATTTATTTTCTCCATCGCAAATAAATCCTTTTGTCACTCTGCTCTCCGTAGTTGGCAAGCTGGCTGGAAGGCAACACCGACCGCTAGCGCAGCGTGTGAGGGAGGGTTCACTAAGGGGGACAGAGCGAGTGGCGGCGCGTTTGGAAGCGCCGCGTTCCAGCTTGAGTCACAGGGCACCGCTCCCTGGAGACTACAACTCCCAGGAGCCTTTGCAGGCCCTACCTACCCCCGCCTCTATGTAAATGAAGTGGGCGGACCCGCCCATCTGCGGGCGGGCTGTCGCCGTCACGTGGCGCGGCGCTTCCTTTCTCTGTGCGCCTCTCTTTCCTTCCTCGGCCGCCATCTTGTTCTCGCCGCGTGTTGGCCGCGGGGCTCCGCCGCGCTCAGGTGAGGGGGCCCGCTCTTCCCGTGTCCCGGTGTCTCCGTGTCCCGGTATCGCCGCGTCCCTCTATCGCCTTGTCCCCGCCGGCCTGAGGCGGGCGGGGCGCCGCGGCAGCTCGCTCCTATCCCCTTGGGCAGTGCTGGGCCGTTCCCCGAGGAGAGGCCGAGCGAGCGATCCCCTTGTGCGGGGGCTGCCCTGGCTCGCGGGGCCGCGGCTCTCCCGTGGAGCGCGGTTGCACGGGCTCCTGAGGGATGAGCCGTGTTCCCCTCCCGCTCCCCGTGCTCTGGGGCTGCCCGGCGAGCCACCCTGAGCCCCTGCTCCCGCTGCCCCGCCGTTCCCCTGCGCGCCGCTCCCTGCCCGCTCCCGCTCTTCCCGCGGTCGTTCCCGGCACAAAGCACATGCGGAGATTTCCGCGATCGCTGGGGACTCGCTGGGGCACAGCAGCGAAACGCATGCCTTTTGCTGGAAGGCTTGAGGCGTTTTTTCACCCATATTATGGATTTTCAGGGCTTTCAGCCTTTAAAGGTCCTACCTGAGCCGTGGGAGAAGCACTGGACAAACTTCCCAGTTACTGTATTGGATGAAGAACTACCAGAAGTTCATGTAGTAAATGTGGCCATACATGAACTTCACAGAGTTTGGATATCGCTTATTAGTCATAATTATCATAGATTCATTGTATGAATACTGTCCCAGGTAGTTTAGTTATGAATGTGTCCCTGGACCCTGGTAAAGATGAGGTGTTTTCCCAGACCCAGTTGTCGTGTATGTGCTGGTTTCGGTCTGGTTGGAGCCAGTAATTCAGTTAAATCCTTCCAGCAGTAAACTGGCATTAGTTTACTAAAAACTAATACCTAGGAAATTAGTACCTCGGCCTGATGCACAATGAAGTGTCTGTGGAGTTGCCTCATCGTGGCACAGACGCTTTAGCTAAATGTGGGTCCTTCCTACTGCAGGGC